AAGAATGACTGGTCTCCAAACAAGAAATACTTCACTAAAGTTCATTGGTGCCACGTTCTACTTGTTTATATCGCCTTAAGTCGATGAGCTTTGGTTCCATGACTGGATTTAAAGTTATAGCTTTCGGTTCCTGTAGAGAGCCATTTAAAACCCTTGCTCAATACCGCGACGCCATGTTTAGGGACCACAACCTTTTCCTTATAGCTTTCCCTTTCCTTATTGTCGGTAAATCAATAATCTGGCGTCAGTCAGTCACGCTTTGGTAAAAGAAGTGGTTTATGTAAGTATAATGGCGCCTGAGTTCCTGCATAACATTAGCGGTAAGTTGGTCGTTTGAAAAGTTCTTGCAGGACGCTTGAATGAGCCTATAAGCAAACTCAGCTTAGTACTCTTCGTTTACGATCATTAAACAGTAGCGGCTTATTCCCTGCCAGAAGTCAGTTTTAGACTAAAGGTGCCAAAAAACCTTTCATAACTATAGTGAGGACCCAGTGAGATATTTGGCTAAAACGTTGGCGCTTGACTCATGGGAAATTTCCCGCGGAAAATAAGATACATCATTACGTGCTAATTAAAGCGTGGTTGGGTAAGTTTTGGCAGATCTAGAACCGTATTTCCGATAGCCTGTGTACAGCCGCCCCATCCCCTCAAAAAAATCCCTTCCCGATTTTTCTGAGGGGATGGGGCGGCTGTACACAGCCTATATTTCCGATTGAGTGCCAAAATATTCTCAATCATATGGTTTCAATTTCCTCTTGTCATCGCCCACACCTTCCAGTGTGGGTGGCGCGAAATGCTTTTGCGTCACTTGTCAAAAGCACCCGACTCGGAAAATCCGGGGCGTTGGTGCGAAAACTTATGGTTAACCATAAAAAGTTTGTTCCTGAAGTATCGTGTCACTTGCCGCCCGCGGAACGTACATGTTCAGTTTGACGCATGCATGCTTCGTCTCCCTTTTCCGTTATTTAGCGGAAATGAGAAATTGGAGTGTGACTTGAATATGAATTAGAAAATATTTTTTGGTGTTTTAAAAAATGAATACCTTACTGAAGGATAAATATTGTAAGAAATATACAACTTTTTTTTAGTGACATCTTTCGGCATGCTTATGGCACCTTCAATCAATGAGTAACTGAACGTGAGTAATTATATAACAGACAAGTAGATGAATAAAATATTTACAGTATGATATAATACAAAAGCGGGTACTAATTACAGCGTGACAACAAACATGAAATTAAAGGTGTGAACCAAAAGGCTAGAAAAGTGTTATAATGCTGTAACTGTAATGCTGTAATTGAACAGGATGCGATGTCATTTTTTGATGACATTAATTCACGGCACCTCAACATAAAATTCACTTTCGAAAAAGAGCATGATGGTAAACTCTCCTTTCTTGATATATTTATCGACAACTCTTCGAATGATTGTGTTTTTTCAGTTTTTCATAAAAAACCTACACTGGTCTCCTAACAAATTTCTTCAGTTTTATTCCATCATGCTACAAAAATGGCCATATCCAAACTCTTATTGACCGTATCTACAAAATCAACAACACCTCTTCCGGTCTTGAAAACGATCTTTAGAAACTTTCCGACACTTTAAAACGAAATTCTTTTCCTTCGCATATTATTGAAAGAACTTTCAAGCGGTAATTAGTACTCGCTTTTGTATTACATCGTACTGTAAATATTTTATTCATCTACTTGTCTGTCATATAATTACTCACGTTCAGTTACTCATTGATGGAAGATGGCATAAGCATGCCGAAACATGTCTCTAAAAAAAGTTGTATATTTCTTACAATATTTATCCTACATGCTGCTACTACGACCTTACTGAAGGAGCTAGAAATGGTGGGAGCGGGAAGGAACTTCATTTTTTCAGCCCAAATGTGACCTTAAGTCCTATTTCTTGGCTTACATTTTGTGTATGATCCAGTGGTTATCAGGCACACAAACTATACTACAGTAATTTTTTGAAATTTTCAATAGAAAACGTTTCTTTGCTTGCTTTAGAAAAAGGCAGACACATTGGGAGTTATAAATTTTGAAAATGGAAAATGCCAGGTGATATGAGATTTTTGAGGAAAGCGGTCTCGGAACAAAACTGCTTATTTTTTCAGGGCGTACGTAGCCGACATAGAAAGTATTCTGTGAACTTATAGAACTTACCAATGTACACACGCAACCACAATACCTTAATTTCGATATTATTTTGTTCAAATTTAGAGATACGAATTAACTGTTTGGGTAGAGCATCATTTTGGGCCGCTGGTGAGACATATGGTATGCGGAATCATCATAGACCATTAATAGGACCGTTAATAATTCGTTCTGACACAGGGCTAACGCTCGAAACGTCAGCGTTAGCAATAGCTTAGGATAAGGGTGGAAACGGTCCAGCTGCAGCCATAGGGCCAGTTTCTCTCTCCTCCGGCCTCCTGATTAAAGCGGAAAAAGGGGTAGGTTTCTAAAAGAACTAAGTTACTGCGTCGGTGGAGGTTTTACAAGACAACTTGGTTTTATCAACTAAGTTGATAATGCAAATTCGAGTTCCTAAAGTTGACTTTTCGAGCGTTTGTCTGAGCGAGTAAGGGACCTGGGAACGACGTGAGGAAACTGAGGGTAGGGTAATCTCGATCTTTTCACGAATTTGCTGGTTCATGGAGTCACGAATGAAGTTTGAGTGATAGTTATCAACATTAAAAGTATACATGTGCCCTTAACTAGTGGAGATAAGGTAAAATACAGCGGTTCTTTCGTCTGTAACGTTTCACGTCGAAACGGGTGCAGATATGAAGCGCAGCCGAGCCCCTCAGACTCAAAATGCGAGGTAGAAAAAAAATTATCGCAATAAATTTTGCGTTCATATGAGCTCAAGTTGGTATTTTTGCAACTGCAACTATATTTGTATCCATCCAACTTTTACTGGTCAGATCGTGCAATTTCAACCTATGTCGTTTTATAATTGAGCGGAAGTGACCAAAGGGGTTTTCGATTAATTTGGGTTCACCTTTCAAAGTCTGACAACTAATTTGAATTACAAATAACCTTTAAGATTAAAATTCGAACTTGTGATCAGTCTTGCACGTGGAAAGAGTTTACGGAGTACAAGAAATTTCATCTTCTCTTTCAGCTACTCTGAGGCTAGGAAACATGTTTTCTTTCCAACCTTATTGCTTTGGATACCATCGTTAAACCAAGTGCGAGTTTCTCGGAAACTGTTGACTCGAGTTCTTCGAGTCAGTGGTTCAAATGCGACGTCGAAGATTGATGGATGTCATTCTGTTACAAATTTTCTCCAGGTAAATGACCTTCATAAAATTACATTCTTTACAGAAATACGGTGCTCGAATCAAATACTGGTTATTTCCTTTAATAATTATAACTATTTACTGAGGTAAATAGGGAAAGATAATTTCTACCGTTGCAGTGTAATACAAATGCTCTAAGGAAGCCGCCATGACAGGTCTTGGTGAACCTCATGGCTTTCGAGGCATCAGCAAACAATTCGTGCCTTATTTTCAATGTGTTGATTGCCTATTTACTCATTTGCCTCTTTTCATCCAAGTTCTTAGTATCGTGTTGATTACAGGTATTCATGCTGATAGTATTTTATCTTTGAGTTCGATTAAACGCAGATTTCATGGGGGATGGGGTGGGGGAACGAGGCGGCACCCCTTATGTGAGCTATGTTGGTACATGCCGTCCCAAAGAATGATTTTTAGTCGTCTCTGTCTGAAAAAGGGCCTGGATTTGGAAAGATTTCCATATAACCCATACATTAATTATGCATTCCATTTCATAGAGACTAAATATAAAGATCTCTTCGCAACACGCTATGCATAATAAATGTATGGGGTTATGGAAATCTTGCCCTGGATTTTGACCATTTTGATTTTAAATTGGGTTTGGTAGAAAGCAACCATGTTAGTGTTTTGACATGTTACAGGGAATGATAACCAAAATCTAGTATTCGAGAAAAATTTTCGGATGAGCAGACCTTTCTCTTTTGCTTCGGCACTAATGATTGGTCGAGATTGGATATTAATTTCAGGGATAAGGTGGGATTTGAAAACTGTTGAGGAAAATGGTATATTTTGGTCTGAAAAAAGACAAGAATTTGGAGGAGCCGGTGGCGTGCCCATCAAAGAATTATGAGGATTAACCCACGGGGCTTGTTACCTCCCATCAGTTGAATGTAACGATTCATTCATTCCTCAAACGTGGAAACCATTAAATATTGAGTTGCAATCAAGCTTTTCTTTCTCTTTCTAAGCTTCTATTTCTTCTTGCAGTGCTGACCTATAAAGGATCGGTCTACGGTTATTCTTAAAATGTTTCTCCATTTTTCTCTTTTGGACAGAATAAAGTATAGAGGGATTACAAATCTGAAAATTAACAAATGCAAAGGAGGAAAGAAAAAAATGATAATTTCTTTAAAGGTTGGTTGCGTAGATTTGTGATGAGTTAACCTATCTTAGCTTGTAAGTCTGGTCTGCACTGAAAAATTAAACCTGGATTCAGTAAATTAATGTTTGCACCCCAAAACTAAAAAATGTAAGAAATGAGACAAACTGCTGACAGAAAAATCTTTTCTTCAATCCCTGTTTTGTTCGATGTTTGTCAGATTAACCCTTTGTATTCTGTCACTGGCATTCATATTCTTTACGCTGTTCTCTTTGCAATTCCATTGTTAATGACAATGAGAAATTATTTGACAATCAGAAGTTTCTTAAAGTAGGAATCATTGCCATTATTCTCATAACCTTAATTTTTTATTCGGGGGTGATAATGTAAGGAGAAAAAAGAAGCCAGACACTCTACTTCTTAGGGGTTAAATGCTCAAGATGACTTGCATTTATGTAAAGCACTGTCACATTGATGAAGCCATGCTCTGTATGTCTCCCCGGTAAAACGCCGATACAGTTGAATGTGTTACGACTATCCCTGATAAAATTTTCGTTATTTATTGTTCGCTTGGTCGTTGAAATAAAATTTCCTGTTGAATGTCAAGCTAACGGTATTGAAACTATATTTGTACAAAATGTGTTGACTTGAATTGCATTTACAGGTACTTGTTTGGACATCTAACACGTCTAAACTGTATCATTAAAAAATCTACATTGATTTTCGTGTACTTTTAATAAATATCGATCCTTATTTTCTCTGATTAGAACAGCAGCATGCTTGGGATAGGAACTTCCAAAAAGCAAGAAATTCAAGCGAGGAACGAAAAACAGGATAATATCTGACACTGAGGTTAGTTAAAGTTTTCTGTTTTGACACCGGTGAGTGTGGTTTGAATTTTTGGACGCTTAGAACTTAAATATAACAATAAAAAATATCACAAAATTTAAAACTAGTCGTAGTCTAATCTAGTTTTTGGTTTCTTGAGTCTTCTCTGATCGAAAAGGTTTCCAGTAATTCACAGCCATTTTTATTGTGTTTTTGGTATAACTTTGGTGCTGAAGAAATTAGTTACCATATCAACTCTTAAGCCAGTCAATAAAAAGCAATGAAAATGTACAATCCAATTGTTAAAGACCTCACTCTTGAGAATGAAATATTTAAATTTCAGTATGCTTCAAAAGTTGATATTTTTCCATTTTTTCAAGAATTATAGTTACATTTCTGTTACTAAAAAGCATTTTTTTTAAGAATTTCTGTTTACAGTTCTGTCAATAAAAAGTACAGAAAACTTACAACCTAATTTTTAAACGTCTAAACTCTTAAGACTGAAACAGTCATACTGCAATATGCTTAAAATGTTGGCAATTTCAATTTTTTTTCAAGAACAATTGCAAGTGCAATTGTCTTTAAATTCACTCACCGAATTACAACCTTTCTACAAATTTCATAATAACTTGGTAGCCTAATTATTGTATACAATGTCTTGGCTCTTGAGGCTAAAACCAAACTCAATCTGCTCAAAACATTTATATTTTTTAGGTTTTCTCTAGAATTCTTTTTTCTCTATTGAGTTTATTGGTCAGAATTTGTTTTGAAAATTACAACATTTTTACATTATTTAATGCCTTTGAGTCAAGTTATCAACTGACTTAGCTCTTGAGACTAAAACAAAACTCGATGTGCTTAAAAGATTATATTTCTCCACGGTTTTACCTTCAAAACTGTATTTTTGTTAATTTTACCCAGCGCTTCATTATAAAATATGCTAGCTGGGACTAAAATCTGATTGAGTGTACCCAAAATATTGTATTTTTTCCCAACTGTCTTTCTAGAATTTTCACAGCTTTGATAAGTTTGATCGTCTGATCTTTTTTCAACTTCACAACTTCTTCAGTTCTAATCATCTCGTTAAGAATTTGTAGCCTACCTGTTTACTATTTGATTAAGCTCTTAAGGCCATAAGAAAAATTCAATTTGGTAAAAAAAAAAAATTAATATCTATCAAAGAATTTCCCAGATTTTGTTGTTTGAATTTCTAAAAAATTTAGCTCTTCAATAATTGTCCTTGAACTCGAATTGCTTCTAACTGAAATAAGCAAAGGCATTAAAGCCTGATTATAAAATTACTTAGCTACTTCAGGTAAATCCGATCCCAGAATGCTAAAAAAATTCCATATTTTTAAAATCGTTTTGAAGAATTCTTTTGGAACTCTGACAAGTTTGATACCAAGAATTGTTATCTGCAATTAAAAATTTGTACCCAATGAGGCAAGAACATTGGAAGCTGATTACAGGATGACTTTGACAAAATTTGGAATGACTCTGATATCTTTTGGATGTCTGACAAGTTTGATATTAATTAAGAACTGTTTTATGCAATTGAAAATTTGACAGAATGAGGCTAAAACATTAGAAGCTGACTATAGAATGGCTTTGCTCCTGAGTCTAGATTCAAACTCACAGCACTCCAGGAAACGATATTTCTCAAATCGTGTTTTAGCTTGCATTTTAGAATTCTTATGCTAGATCTCTGATAAAGTTCATGTTGTGGTAATCGTTTATCAAATGCAAAAGGTATTCTGAAAATATTGATCCTTTTTTTCTCCATTAATTTCTTTAGTTTATCATTAATTGATTCAGGACCTGTTAACCTGATAAAAACAATCCTGAGATCTAGTTGCAGCGACAAATCTAGGACACATGCTCTCAAATTTAATGTTTCACTCAGTCTGTTAGCAAAATCAATTTTTAAATTTCAGCTAGGTTGTTTTTTTATCCTGTGATAAACACGGAGCTTATTCTTAAATGCATGTTACGTTCACGCTCTCTCCTACTGAGTCCATCAACACTTTAGTATTTGAGTTTTAATAGATACTCGTCTTGCATTGCCAAATAAGGTATCTGAGGAAATTTCTGCCCGCCACTTCCACTTGAATCATCATCACTTATAAAGGCAAGCTTTGAGATCTAAAGCATTTGTCGATGTACTGTTTATTTTCATTTTCTTGCAGACTGAGTGGTGAATACTTCTGATGCTTCACGTGCGATCGAAGCAAAAGACAAGACCTGTTCAAAAGCACAAAGCAGATGCAACACTTTTCCCAAAGAATACGGCAAGTCCAAGACAAGACTCGTCTTCTGGAGCCTATGACTTGAAGCAAAACGTAAGCAACTGTAGCAAATGCCGTTCCACGATTTTTTTGGACGCTGGAGAAAAAATTCACGTCAAGGAATGTTAAGACATTTAATTTTCCCTGCCTACCAAAAACTTGTACTTTAAATGTGGATGCGCCATTTTGTTTTTTTTTCAAATTGATTCCGTAAACAACCTGTTCAAATGTGTTAAATTTTCCCGCCAGAAGACTTAGAAAAAAATACGCCTGCGCCATTTTTTTTCAAATTGATTTCTGTAAGTAACTTCTGTTCAAATGGGTCAAATTTTCCCGCCAAAAGGCTAAGAAAAATACGGCGCCCATAATACGCATGCGCCAATTTTTTTTTAAAAAAAATCTATACATTAGCTACTAAATTAAAGTTTATTCACTTGTAATTTCGTATTTAATACTCAATAAAATGAAGGTGCTAGTTCTTTGGTTGTCTTTTATTTTCTTTCACTGTAAACTCGCCCGAATATATCTCATGATAAAACACTTTGTTTCAAATTCTTCTCAATTCGTTTAATTAAAAAGGTGTCCAGAAAAACTTTTCGTGTATATACTAAGACTTTTGGCGTGAAAATTTGGATGAATTTGCACAGCGTTTCCCCTGGCAACTTTTTCGACAAAAATTTCAACATAGTGTGCTTAAAAGTTTCCCGCCAAAATTCATTTTAACAGCATCTCGTGCAAAAAATTTAAATTCACAGGGCCAATTGTTCTTTCAAAATAAAAATATAATAAGAACTGAGAAAGTTCGGATTTTCTTTCGAATAAATTTTCCATCGACTAAGCCTTCCTTTTTCAAAATATTTTGGACTATAATTTCTTGCACGAGATGAAGTGTAAGAATTTAAACATAAAAGTACCATGGCAAGATTTAGAAAGCTCAATCAGAATTATCGTTGAAATTTAATTGTCTTCAACGTTTTTGTTTGTTTTTTTACTCCGTCCTCTCGCAGCTTTTAACTTGCCATGATGCTTTGTTAAGATGAAAGATCTTTAAAGCATCCAGCCGGTTTTCGAATGTAACACAGGAAAGAACATTGAAAAGCACTAAAAAGATACTTCAAGATTTCGAAATTGAATTTCAGAAGCAATTTGAACAGCAAATCAATTTGGTCCATTGCAACAGCTGATAGTTTTATTTTGGTTTGCCACATGAGTGGAAAAGTTGTCTTTTTTAATAAACAAATAATCTGCACGATCTTTTTGTTGAAGAGTTTTGAAGATGAATCAATTTAAGAAATGTAAAATGATGAATTTTTAGAGCATTCTTTCTGGATTTAAGTGGCAGAACTTCCTTTAGTGGTGAAATTCGGGCATGATCTATTTATATCCCCAAATGTTCCTATAGTAAAATTGTCAAATGTCTTATTCATACTTAAAAAATTTAACGACGAAAACCAACGAATTTTGTAGAATTAATTTTCTTTTGTACGTATTCCTGTGTGACATTGATTGACAGCATAAAGATCTCCCTCCTACTTAAAGAGTGATTGACGTTACATTTTAAAAACTCAATGCCTGGTTGAAGTAATTAGGATTTCTTATGTCCAATTCAATGTAACTTTCAAATTGTTTCTATTAATTATTGAGGAGATGGCGTTATCTAAACCAGTCAGAGCACAATGAATTTGAAAATTCATACGTACCGAGGAGTATCACAGCGCTATATAATTCTATATATCAAGTTTCGAACTCGTTAGGCTAGCACGTTTTGCAAAGTTAAGCTGCTTTTTCACGAATTTGCAACCTCTATGAGCAATTAAATACATATCCCTTTTTCATCGGTAATAAATTGCGAAAATGTTACGAAACATAAACAATCAAAGAAGGACAATGAAGCGCGGGATTTTATCTCGAACCATTTTTTCAAGAAAGACATCTGCACTGAAGCCTGTGCGAACAATCCCAACCTACATAACGGAGTAATTTCATAATCTCATGAAATTAAATGTCTCGTGACTTTGTTCGTATAATTAATAATTAATAACAGCTAAATATTGGCAATTTTCTCACTGATTGATTATAGCCAGACAAGTGTGAACGGATGAATTATCGTGCCGTCAATCTGGCAACTTTGTGCACAAATTTTCGAACAAACGAATTGTATCTTAATTTCATCAAACAAAATTTCCAAAACTGCTTATTCCTCGTACTGACCTAATAACTTTTAATTGTTTTGTTCGCGATTTATTGATAGATCGATTATCTCAATTCTTAAATTACTTTTCATTCAATCTGCTAGCGATAATCATATTCCACGTCCAATTTGGAAAAAATATTTTCCGCTGATTAATGACTTGCAAAAACGACAATCTATATTCTATCGAAAGTGACTGAAAATATCTCAGACTGGTTTATGTAACGACAACTGCAGTTGTGACCGGGCATTTGAGTTTTAAAGATGTGACTTTCAAAATGGCAAGAGGACATTGGTACATCCGTTTCAAACCCCTCCCTAAAAAAAAAACCTTAACACAGTAGCCAAATATATTAATGACTTTTAAATCTTAATGAAACGTCAAACCTAATGTCCTCTTGTAAACTGGAACGACCTCAGTTAATGGCAAATAGCAGTACACATCATTTTAAGACGGCACTGTACAAGTTATTGGTTCAGTTTTGAATAACAAATGCCTCTCCTTTTAATAAAGTAAACTTAGTCGTCGGTTCAATTCACGTCGAGAAGGAAAATATCAATTAATTCAATTTTTCTGAACTCTTTGATCTGAAGAAAATTAGAAGACTGATGAAGTTTTCCTTTTCAATGAAATTGGCGATCGTGTCGTGTAATCGTCTGAGTTAAAGTTGTTCTTTCGTTAAAGGACTGTTGTCTATGACAGCGACTAACTTTTAGTCAATCTGGGTGGAAGTCATTGCAAGACGATCAAGTTATTGTTCGTAAAAGTGATTGGTCAGTTTTTCTTGGTGCTATCAGGCGCCAGCCCCAGTCAGCAATCATGGAGCTCTTTTTTATGCGTCAGTGTTGATTATTTGATAAAGTTAGAAAGTGCCGTTGGTTGAGTTCTGTTTATGTCTTAAGTAGTTTGTTTTTGATTTTCTCAGTTTACTGCTGTTGGGGTATTCTTTCCTTGCTTAATAAACCGCTTTCCAAAGTCAGTCCTTCGGTTGGTAAGTTCTATCAGTTAATTATTTACTCAAGAAGAGTCCAGTCAGCAGTGTGGTTGGTAAGTCCATGTTGAAAACGGAGAACCCATTTCATTTATCTCCATATTTAAATTTTGAATTCTCAGTTTTTGACTGTGCTACAGTGCCACCTTAAAATATTTCAACTATTTGCGACGTCAACTAGGATAGAATTACGATAATTATTGTTATGCAGACAATGAGCGTTCATTTCCCCGCCGGATATCAACTTTATTTTTTTAGTTTTCTGTGGACGAGTTTATGCATAAATGTCCGATGGTTACTTTTAGGGGATGTTACGAGTTTCCTGGGCAAGATTTCCGCATAACTAGCCTCAATCTTCAATATGCATACAGTTCTTGGATGAAGAAAACAAAATGGCGGAAACGATATTACCTCTGAGGACTATGGCGTTTTTTTTTTTAGGAAAGTATGGCACTGTATAGAATTCTTTCCATTTTCTGAGATAAAGTGAAAAAGGGAAATTTGTGAATATATCATAGAGCGCTCAGGGTCTGCGGGACAATCTGTACCAATGCAAAACTGTCCTAAAGTGGTGGCTAGATGTTAACTTTATCTTTTACCAAGCAACTATTTCCGAGCATAAGATCGATATAAATGAGACCGGCGATTGATGAGGAGTAGAATTCTTACAAAACGGTAATTTAAACAGCCACCACTTTTGCTACAACTACTTAAAAATTTCAAAGCTCTTATCTCCCTGATATCCTTCTTGAAAGATCTTCCATGCATTATATTCACTGATTTCCGTGTCGTCTCGTGCCACATTGTTTATCCTTCCATCCTTCTGAAAGCAATCCTCATTCTGAAATATAAATCGTCTATACATTCAGAGACTGCTTAACACTTTAAATCCGCGAAAAAACTAGAAGAAAACCACAACTAATGACGACATACAATCTAGAGAGCTTGGAAATAAACGTTGTAAATATTTCTACATTTTATAAAATTCTGCCCGTGGCGACGGGATTTTATTTACAAGTCGTCAAAGCTCCACGTAGTGAAGGCGTTCAGTTACATATTCATGTCTCCACTGTAATATGTGTAACAGTATTGAGTTCTTGTCACAGTCGTCACATTTCTTCTACTACAAACGCCGACAATCTCTTCCATTTAATCGAACTCCTAGATGAGAAAGGATACGTCTCGAACCACACAATGGACTCGACTCGTTTAAAATTACGACTCCTTCAGGTTCCTGAAGAATCGAACTTTGAGTAAAAATTTTTCAAGAAATGCTCACCTTTGGCTCTTGTAACACAAGGCTGCTTTCAGTTGCTCTTCTTTGCAGCTCAGGCGTCTTCTTCCTTCCACAGTACAACTTTATCTTCAGCATAAAAAACGACACGTCTAAACTCTCCGGCAGGCAACGTGGTTTGTTGTGAATACTAAAATTTCTCATGAATATGGATTAACAATTCCAGACAATGATCGGCTGAATGTTACGTATATGGCACGGCGTTCTGTTTGCACGCTCAGGAGCCAGCTTGAATTAAGAGGTTTTAATTAAACCTTTTTTTTTTCCACAAGGCTCTGAGAAATTGACAAAATTCAAAGTCATACTTAATAAAGGATTCCAGTCAGATAACCCGACAAATTTCTCTGTTATTTTCTCTCTTTAGGTTTTATGGATCTGACTAAGTATAACGTTTAATATTATTCCAATCATTTTAGTTTATCAGTCAGAACACGAAAACACTGAAAAAAGACTATATACCATCAGAGAGCTCCCGACATAAACTGAAGCACCATTATCTTTGCTAGCTTTCTTGATCTTTTAACTCACTTTGTTGAGTCAACAAGCCAAAGTGAAGTAAATACATTATAAGGCAGAAATGAAGATGACACCTACATATTTCCCCACCAGGGCAAAATAATGTGAAATTATCATTTTTTTTTCCAAACGACGAGATGATGAGCAACATTACAGGAGCAGATGGGACCTTCGATTTGATATGAAGCGATTGGAAAAAGATTAGAAAATAGAGAAAAAGTGCAGTTATATATTTTTCTTAGGAAGGAACGCGAAATGAACAGAGAGCGCTGTAATTCTCCATCACAAAGAGAACACAACTTGGGCCTTGGGTTAGATATTGATCGAGGTATGGTAGAGTAGAGATGAAAAATCATTAATGTGCTGAAGTAAAAAAACAAATGAGGAATAAAATAAGGTTAAGAACTCTAAAAACTAACCCGTGTAACAAAAACTCATTAAAACTATAATTTGGATTTCAACATTCTGATCCATTATTCTTCCGATTTAAACCAGACCCCAGCCCCCAAGCCACCAGCTTTTGATGCTGGACCGTAAACTCTCGTTGTAAGCCGACTACGTGCGAGTACCCCTGTAATAAGCCTGTCTCATCGAAAGCGGAAATTTCATAGAGGAGACGAGGGGGGGGGGGGGAGGGAAGGGTGCGGGGACATGCTCCCCGGTAGATTTTGTAGTAGCTGGTTTCTGAAATAAAATTTCCAGCCTTCTGAGTGTAGTTTTCAATAATTTTTCTAATAAATTTGACCTTGGATCTGATAGATAACATCAACGTTATACTTTTCCTATTAGCGAACAAGTCTCAAACACAAATTGACTGCGACTTGTCGGTAATGTATGAAAAAATGTTACATAAATCAATATACTATGTGTGTGAAAAGGCCAAATATTTTTACGCGACTGTTTTTTACAAAGAGGTATACGGGACCCTCTTACCACCATCAAACCAGGACTCTTTTTTTTCTTTTTTTTTTATCTCATTCTAAAGCTAGAATTACGACTATTTCAAGACGCAAATAGGAAAATTGCAAACCCTGACTAAAGACCCCTACATTGTATTCTATCTGCTGGCACATACCCGTAAAGCCACCTTTCACCACTTTCTCCGACTTTCCCACAGAGAGCGTTTTTTTTCTTTTTGCCACGTAACACAAACAACATTTCGGTTTAAGGACGACTTTATTTACCAAACTTATCTATGCATTTCTATTATTTGATAATAAATAACATCAATGGTTGGCACCGATAAATTTTGCACTGAAATCGAAATTAATTTAATTTACCATCCACGATAAAAATCGAATTTTTTTATATTTCCCGTGGTTATTAAAATTAGGAATAACATGTGATGTAGTATCCGAAATTTAACTGAAGCAGAGGTTACTTCGACTCCACTTGGCGTCAGTAAATATTCTAAATTATCTAGAAGCAACGAAACAAAAATTATGAGGGTGAAATATAGGGGAAAAACTTCAGTGACAAAAGTAACAAATGTTCTTCGGAAAATAGCTTTGAGTCGAACTTCATCCACTACTCTATTCCGCTTTACTGTCCGCTATATTTAAATGAAAAGGTAGAGGTATCTAAAAACTTAGACTAGGATGAAAAACTGAAATCTTGGTCATGGTGAGATAATATCAAAGTTACCAATTTTTTCTATTAAATATGTCACATTTTTTGGCGAAAAATTTATCTCGTGTGAACAAAATGCTTGTGCGGGAAGCTGACATCTTCAATTCCTTTGAAGAGAAGGAAAATTATAACCAATGAAGCTTTACGATCTTGAATCAATTCCGAATAGTGTTCCCTGATCTTTTTAAGCCTCATCTTGTTTTCAGGACCTCGTTCATACAGTCGTATTGAATTTTTAAAAATATTGGTCATATGATCCATGTCACCAAATGAATTCATTGTGACACACAGGATTTCTCTGTGTGAATTATACTATAGTAGTCGAATTAATGTCTTATGAAAATAGAGAAATGTACATTGCTTTTTTAGTGATATACCGTATGTTATTACGTAAAAACTGTTTTAAAATCATCTTTCACCTCACTTGCATCAGATTAGCTGAGTAGCTGGCGCAAGTTTCCTTTTCTTCCCAATCAATAAGAACCAACGAAAATAGTTCAAAAGCTGGAAAACAGAAAGCTAAAACAAACACTATGTACACGGTATACCAATGCGAAGCATTGCTCAGATTAAAAGAAAACCACAGCTCTTCTTCCTCCCCCTGCGTTCTCATTTGATCTAAATCTCTACCATTTCAAGAACTAAAGAGATTTGAAAGTTTTCTTCATGAAACGGCACACCTTTAAATTGCATGTTACTTTCGCTTACAACAGCTTTAGGTATTTCAGCGTCAATCTTGTTCTATCGTCTTCTGGTTGCACCTCTCCCCTTCAGCACAACTTTTTACGTAAAAGATGTCCAGCGGTAAACATAACTGCTCCAACCTCCTCCTTCTTCACTTGGTTCATTTTCAGCTCCTACAGAAAAAGGCGGGCACTTTTAACGACGGATGGAGAAAGATGTGTGACCAAGACAGAATTTCTCCTTACGATAACAATACACGACAAGTGAGCTTCCTTGCATTTGGCCTTCTTATTGTTCTCACTGCAAAGTGTAACCTGTCGCCCTCAGAAAAAAAGACGATTGAAAACGGCGTCACCGTTTTTACGGGTTCAAACAAACAACGAACGTTGTCGTAAAAGGCAAGGTGAAGAATAAAAAAGGTAGTAAAACGTATGCACTGTAAATCGCACGTGTGATGCGGGCGAGCCTGATTTTGAAATGCAAAAGCTTTCATATAAATTTACTTTTAAAATGACTTCATTTCTCACAGATGTGTTCCCATCATACCTCGCGCAAGTTGAACTATCAAGTCCTTCTCGTCCTGACTGAGCTTCAACATGGTGGTGAGGACTGGAACTAAATGTTCGCGTTCATTCGGACGACACTTCAGGAACTGTAATATGACATTCTTCATATACTCCAAGTTTGCTGACTCTTTCTCCCGCTCCTGGTTTCTTTCAAGTCTTAAAAACAAAAAGAAAATGAAACAGTCTCATAATTAATGCATCAATAATGACAAAGACAATAACGATGACGATGACGAGAAGGAGAAGAGGGAGGGGGAGAGGGAGACGGAGAGAAAGCTGGCAAGGTCACATTCACCATCCACCTAGTGCCTCTTTTTCCATCAATTTCAGGTAGAATTTGATTTGGATAGTTGGATTTTTTTCAGTATCTACCACGCTGGTTTGAGGCAAGAAAGCTATAACGGTATGGAATAGGAGCCAATAAAAAGACGTGTAACATAAGTCGTCATCGCGATTCAACTCAAACACTCGGACTCAAACATATTATTTCAATACCTTCTTATCTCTTCTTTTAACACCTTCGCCTGCTCGGACAGTCTCATGGAATTCGCTTCACTCTCACGCAATAACTAAAGAAAAAAAAGTTAGACTCGGAATTCCATTCTTAAAAGGATGTGCGGGACAATTCGTCACCAACACGTCAGTATTGGCCGCCGTCTCAGCAGAACATCTTGTACAAGAAATGAGATAGCTAAGGAACATGTATTATTAAATACTTCTAGAGAATAGAGAACCAATCCCAGTTTTCCTTATCTCGTAGAATATCTATTATTCAGAAGATAAATATTCTTGAAAACGAGATTTCATCTCCATTTGCTTTTTGTCCCCACACATATCCACTGACAACAGTCGGCAAAACTGCATCTTATAAAAACAGGGCGCCACAATTAACACAAAAACGAGATTAAGGCAGGTAATTCATTTTCGATAAACCCCATCTCATCCCCCTTACTCCGCTACTGGGAGTGCTTTTCCATCGAGGACAGTAGCGTTTTCTGGATGCCTGAAAACGATGTCAATTTGCCATGTCTAGGACGCGAGGAAGAAACTAACAGATTAAATTATCTTCGTTCAGTTCCAAGTACATGATAGAAAGTTTCACTAGACAATAATTCTAGTGGTAATTTAGTGGACAATACGAACCAAACAAGATTTTAATAAACACCGCGTTACCTCGGTCAGATGTTCCACTTTCTTATTGGCAGTTGCAATGTTCGAGAGCAGCAGATTTTCGTCCAGGGGAGGACCTCTTAGTGCTAAAACGATAAAAAAAAAGAGCCGCAAGAGCAGAAATCATTTTTTTTTTTTTTAAACTCAGCTTTCCCGCAAAATTTTTGTACACAAAAGTAATGAGTTTTACTATAGTACCCACCTTCATCTCTTGGAGAAGTCGGAGTAGTCGGTGACGTTGGAGAAAGGATCTTCTCAAGAGTGGAGGCCATGGTCGGTGACACAGGAGTGGTGGGAGTAGAATTGACCTTAAAAAAAAAAAAGTTTTTTATTTTTTACTTTTTATTTTTTTTATAACACACATGACCCTGGTTCTCGTAACAGTGGGTCAAACTTTGCTGAGCCATGCTGTGTCCGACTTGGCCAACAGAATCTCATTTCTTTTTTCATGGTCAATTTAATTGGATAACATGTTAAATACTTACCTGGGCTTGTCCCTTTTTCCCAATAAACGACATTCGTTTTTGAACGGGGAGAATTGTCCAAGAAATCATAGATGATTTCAGGGGATTAAATTGTGCCTCAGAAAGTTTTCTTTGAAAAAAAGTCGTAATTAAATTAATATAGTCCTGCGGCTAAGACAATATGAGCGTTCAAAATCACGTTCTTTTGTCGTGTTACTCTCAATCAAAAAAATGGCAAGCAGAACACAAACACTTTCAAAGCGCACTCACCCTTGGCGCTGAGTCGGTTTCTGCCAACTCACTCTGGTCCATGCCCTGTAGAGAGGACGAAGACAAAGTAAATCAAATAACTAATTCAAAAAAGTCATAAATACTCAGGCAACAAAATCATCACACCCACCTCCCCAGGCCGTCGCTCTTCCGTTGCCCTTTGTAGCGCGAGGTCTGGTGGTGAGCGAGACCTCACAATTGACTGCTGGGACTGTTGTTGCTTTTCCTGATGTAACTTGCTCAACTTACTTTCAGCTTCAGTCAATTTCTGCTGCAGGCTTGCTAACTGGGCTCGATGCTCTCCTTCGATGACTTCAAGTTTTTCCTTCAAAGCGAAAACAGTAAAATTAGACCAACAGCTCATCACCCGACGTTGATTCCATCAAAAGCATTCTTTCAAATGAGCCATTTCCCAGAAAATTATTGTAGTGGACTCCTGATTAGACCGTTGAGTAAAAAAAATAATATCTACTAACTTCCTGAAACTTCCAAACTTTGCATAGAAAATAGAAGACCTCGACAAAAAAAAGACTTTCATAAAACCATCGCATATCATTACCAGTAGAACTTTTCCGTAATACAATTTTCCCTTGGACAACAAGCTGACATTATAACTGTGCTCTTAACCACCTATTAAAAATGGCATTTACAAGGTTGTGTAATTGTGACCATGATTATGCCTTATTTGTCTTGTCTGATTGGCTTAAAAAAACCTTAACTGTCCACTCAGGCTACCGAGGCTAGCTATACTCTCGCTGTACATGATGATTTAAAAAGTGCAGAGTTATAATCTCGAGATTACTTAGCAATGCAGAGTAAAGGACACCAAAGCATTGAGCGTTAATGGTTTCAAACAATGTTACCAACAGAAAAAAAAAAACAATAATAATCGGCCAAAACACTACACCAAACGGCAACGCAGGAATACTAACTTGTTATCAAAAACCCAACAAATCTCCAAGCACATTGCCACTGGCATACGCTTTTGTCGTGTGTGCTAATGGCAAGCAAGCTTAAAAATTTAAAAATGTCAAAGTGCGCGTCAGTCCGGTTTTTCTTCTTAACCATTTACACGCTAAGATCAGTGTGCATATTCTCCATACTGTTCTCTATACATTTCCTAAGGTGCTGACAAGGAGAATTTGTTTAACAATCAAGAGCTTCTTCAGTTGGTGATCATTTCCTTTATTCTCGTGACTTTAGTGTGGGATGCGAGGGTGTTATTGTAAGGAGAAATTAGATGTTAGTCACTCTTGGAGGTCAAGTGGTTAACACTTGCCTTGAATGTGGCGGCTACAGACTCGTTCTGGAATGTCATATGTCTTATCGCAGCCAAATGCTCCTCATTTGTAGTGCTTCGCTCAGACTTCAGCCGTTCAAACCTGTGAGATTAGGAAACGAAAAACCATCAATTAGCACCCACTGCTGTGGAAAAGGAGGTCGTTTTCCTCCCTAACAATTACATACCACTCTGTACAAGTTGCGTTACCCAGAAGATAGGGAAACGTTATTCATCACTGGTCCAAAAAAGGAAACACTTCCAGGTGATCATGAGTGTTGTTAACCGCGAACAAACGACAGCAAAGATAGATAGGACTCCTCGTGAGTCACAGGAATATCAACAAAGGCAGACGACATCACCAGCGCATTGCAGACTAACAGCTAACTTATAGCTCTTCTGTCCATGTGTTGTGCACTACTAACCTATCCTTCCAGTGGGCCTCTTTGTTATCAATATCTTGTATCAACTTGCTGTGTCGGGCCGTAAGTCGTTCGTGCTCGCTTTCCAGTTCATCATATTCGTTTTGGAGCATGCTACATTTATCGCTTGAGGAGCAAAAAGGAAAGTGAACATGATCATTTGAGTAAAACAATCAGATCAAAATGAAAATAATGTGAGAGTCAAGAATATAGCACGGAGGGCGCCAACGGCTGAATTTCTTCCTTACTTGGCTTCCTGCAACTTGCTCTTCAACTGTTCAATGCCTTGCTCTAAACGAGTCCTAAAAATCAAATGGGAAAATTGAATTGAAATGCAAAATACTACAACCCTGAATCCGTGTCAGTATCTGAGAAACTGCACACCCACCCCTCCCCCAACCCAACTGACATAAACCCTAACTTGTTACCAGTTGACTATTGTGGCTTTAGGGGAGGGGTGGGTGAACAGTTGATCAGATACTGACATTAGTCCAAACTAAGCATGACACACACCTCTCAGAATTCTCAAGCTCAGGAGCCTGCGGTGCTGATTTGGTTTTCTGCTGTTTAAGAACACTGTGGACACGAGTCTGAACAAAAAAAAAAAAGAACACGAAAACATACAAAACTTGAAGTGTAGATAACAACAAATATGGATAAAATGCCGTGAATCAAAATAGGGTAATCTTGCCTTGAGTTGGGTTTTACTGATTACGTCACTCCGTCATAAGCTTTGTCAACTGACAAATGCACACACGAACTGGTCACTTGCGTTTTCCCGCGCACTAAGCAGTTTACTCGTTTTCCCGCGCACTAAGCAGTTTACTCGTTTTCCCGCGCACTAAGCAGTTTACTCGTTTTCCCGCGCACTAAGCAGTTTACTCGTTTTCCCGCGCACTAAGCAGTTTACTCGTTTTCCCGCGCACTAAGCAGTTTACTCGTTTTCCCGCGCACTAAGCAGTTTACTCGTTTTCCCGCGCACTAAGCAGTTTACTCGTTTTCCCGCGCACTAAGCAGTTTACTCGTTTTCCTGCGCACTAAGCAGTTAACTCGTTTTCACTTGCACTTTTCATCGACTGTTTGTAATATTTCCATTGTTCTGATCAACCGTTTAGATTACTGTTGTTTTTGTTTAAACGACCACAGATCAAAATGCTCTTGTAACTTTTCAATCAACTGTGTCANACTGTGGACACGAGTCTGAACAAAAAAAAAAAAGAACACGAAAACATACAAAACTTGAAGTGTAGATAACAACAAATATGGATAAAATGCCGTGAATCAAAATAGGGTAATCTTGCCTTGAGTTGGGTTTTACTGATTACGTCACTCCGTCATAAGCTTTGTCAACTGACAAATGCACACACGAACTGGTCACTTGCGTTTTCCCGCGCACTAAGCAGTTTACTCGTTTTCCCGCGCACTAAGCAGTTTACTCGTTTTCCCGCGCACTAAGCAGTTTACTCGTTTTCCCGCGCACTAAGCAGTTTACTCGTTTTCCCGCGCACTAAGCAGTTTACTCGTTTTCCCGCGCACTAAGCAGTTTACTCGTTTTCCCGCGCACTAAGCAGTTTACTCGTTTTCCTGCGCACTAAGCAGTTAACTCGTTTTCACTTGCACTTTTCATCGACTGTTTGTAATATTTCCATTGTTCTGATCAACCGTTTAGATTACTGTTGTTTTTGTTTAGACGACCACAGATCAAACAGCTCTTGTAACTTTTCAATCAACTGTGTCAAGTACCTACCTTGTAGCTTTCAAATTCAGCCCGCGTGGCCTCGTGAGCCAGTTTGGAACTCTCCCACTCGGCTTTCATTTTGGACAGTTTACTTTCCAAGGTTTCCACAGCTCGCCTGTTGCTATCCGTTGAAGAACGAAGCTGCAGGAAAAATAACATTGAGCTTATTTGACACGAAAATTATGTTTTAAAATTTCGTTTTTGCTACTTTTTTTCATGTCTGTCTACCAATATTGCTATTCTTCCTTAGCTTTAACATGGGACACTTACTTGCTCTTGGTAACCTTGGCTTTCGGCGGTAAGAGAGGACACTTGAACCTGTTAAATCACGCAATTTGAAAATAATAACACATTAAATATATAAATATCATATATTATGTATCACAGATGCATTTCACTCGCGAAAGCTTGGCCAAATTCACCCCATCTCCAATTACAGAAATTCCATGACTTTCCAAGACCTTTTCAAGGACTTTTCTGAAAATTGGCCTGAAAAATAGTATAATGGTACAGATCATGAAGTAAAGCTTTCTTTTTCTTTATTATCCTGAAAAATACCGAAACAATCGTTATCCAAATTTACTAGACTCGAATTCCCTTACTTTCCAGGCCTGGAAAATGATAATATTGAGTTCCATGACGTTCTAGATTTTCTGGCCACGAATCCCAACACATTAGGTGCTATCAATATCATCGTTTATTATCCAACTACACCTAGACGAGTACAAATAACGCCATAGACGAGTACAAATATCACGCGGTATTTGTACTCGTCTATTGTAGAGTACCGGTTAAACAGGTTTTCTCGCATCGCACAAGCGAAGAATTGGATTGTAGTTACGAAAAAAAACAAAAACAAATGGCGGACAATTTGAATCTTATTTCCGACTACGAAGAGTCAGAATGGCTGGCAAATATAGATCCAAGTTCATTAGATGAATCGAACGAAGAAAAACAGCTTGACGACCAGAAAATTTCTTCATTTAATGAAGAAAATAGAAACAGCAACACAACAACGCGCCAATTCTGTTCCGCTTCGCATACTTCTGTCACGCACTCCCCGTAAATAAACATCCGCGAAATTCGCCCGCACTGAAATAACAGTTTAGCGTGTTGGATAATAAATAACTTATTTATTGGACGTTTTGTTGTGTAGTATCGCAGAGTATTCTTACTCGTTATTTGTATTTTGACGAGCCCGTAGGGCTCGTCAAAATACGGCACAACTCGTAAAAATACTCAGCGATACTA